GCCATGAGGGGGAGCGCGGGCCCCGGCCCCGGGAGGGAGCTGTCCCGGCGCCAGCCCGCGGGTCTGCATGACAGCAGCGCGTCCCCAGGCACCACACGCCGCCCTGGCCTCCACCCTGTCACCGAGGGCCATGACGCGTCACCAGGAGCCCCGATACACCACCACGGGCTGAGGCCACCCCGTGCCCTCACAGGCCACCTGTCCCTGAAGATGCCACCATGGGCCCAGGCATGCCATTGCTGCCTGTGTGCCTGGACACGCCACCATGGGCCGCCACCACCCGTGTGCAGACACAGCCCATGTCCAGATGCTGCCCGTGTGCAGACACACCGTCCCTGTCCAGGCACGGCCTGTGTCCGAGCACCACCTTTGTGCAGACACCACCCGTCTACAACAGCACCCGGTTGCAGACGTGTCACCTGTGTGCAGGCATGCCACCCTTGATCCAGATGCCACCCAAGTGCCTCAGCATGCCCCTCATGTATGGGGTCACTCGTGTCCAGGCATGACCTGTGTCAGCTGCCACCTGTGTTCAGGTATGACCTGTGTGCAGACACCATCTGTGTACAGACACCACCCGTGCGGTGATCCCACCTGTGTGCAGACACCACTTACGTGCCAATGTCAGCCGTGTGCAGATGCCAACCATGTGCCCAGACATGCCAACTGTATCCTCCTGGCATCGCACAGCTCAGCACAGAGGGGCCCTGGCCAAGCTCGGGGTGCTCACCTCCCCACGAGGGACCCAACGCAGCTCTTTCCAGCACAACAGCTCCTTTATTTTTGACAATGTCACCCTGCCTTTGACCATTTCATTTTCAGCACATGGATACAGGGAGAGGAATCGCTCAGCACAATGAGAACCGGGTTCACCCTGAAGACCTCAGTAGCGATACAGTTTCTAGACATAGCAATGGTTTTTGCTGTAAGTTTGGGGGAAAATGATTTTTTCCTGAAAGGGTAAAAAGAGCATAGAAGCATGGATTATGTTTATGTCATTTTCTCCCTCGTGCCATGATCTTGTAATTGAAAATTTGAACTGTACTTGCTAATCTCATCTGAATCAGTCATCTGCATATATTAGAAACAGCACAGACACCTTTTAATAGGAACAAGACTAATTTGCCACCCATATTTTGATTTCAAACCCCAGATATGATGATTGGTGGGGAAAACCAACCACTTGAAAATAAGACCAAAGGACACCTCAAGGCCCAGGTCAGAGTTCGAACCGACTGTGTATATGTTTAGATTTTAACTTGTTGTACTTGGTGATCAGATCCAGCTTACTGTGCCCAAGAGTCATTCTTTTCTCAGCCCCGTACGCGCTGTTCTTTTCCATCAGCATGTCCTCAGTGAGTTTATCATAGCAAGGAACTGCAGGCTTTTTATCTCGTTTTAGCTGGTTGTATGGGGATAGCAGGTCCAATTTTCCTTGTCCGGGACTTTGTCTTTTTTCCATCCCATAAAATGTGTTGTCATTTTCTGCTGTCAATTCCCTGGAGGTAGCAGCAGGCCCTTTCGGCTTCATGCTTGTCCCATTGCTACTAGCGCCCTCCAAAAGGGACTGCATTGTCTGCTCCTGTCTTAGTGGGGAGCAATGGCTGCTGTTAGCCTTATTGTCCCCTTGATAACTAGGTTTATTGGAGCTCAGGGCAGGGGAAGGCTCTGGCTGCAAGAATGTCCTTGCTGTCATGAGATTTGATTTGTGATACAAGGCTGAGGTGGATTTATTTGGAGGACTGTTTGGTGAGTCTGGTGGTTCTCCTTGCTGCTTCAGAGATGTGTCTTCCTTCCCCTTCTTATTATCAGAATCAGAACTTGAATCTTGCTTTTCCTGGTGTACATTACAGCTGGAATTTTTCAGAAAGGGAGACATTTTTATGCTTCTGATGCTTACATTGGAAAGGCTGCTGGAAGGGCTCGAGGTTTCAGCATCATTCCCCTGTAAGGGTTTTAAAAGGGAGTTGGCAACTTTTGAGGTATTCTGAGAAGAGGGGCACATTCCAGGATCTGGCACACAGAAGCTGGTCACTGCTCTGGACTCTGCATACAAGTACCGGAATTCCTTGTCAAACTCTGCAACAATTTGACCACGGAAGTGGGTCACCAGGCTGGTGTGGACCTGGCTGCAAAGCCAGGTGAAACTGTGAAAAAAGAAAAAAACCCACATGTAACATTAGTTCACAGAGTGCCAAGATACCTAGCATTTATTTTAACATTCGAGTGATGTATTGCTACCCAATTTATGTCATTAAAACTTTGTCTGAAGTATGCAAGTCAGATTACTTTTAGAGATGAAGGTACTCATTACATAATTACAAAAGAACAACCCTAAAATGGTCATTTAATTTCAGGTTGGTGATGTAATGAACTGTATGAAAATACAAACAATGAACAAGAAATATCAGCTGGTTTTCCTCAGCCTTAGGAAGGATGTAGAGCAGCAACTGGTCCCTGCCTAAAAAGCACAGCAGCATGTTTCAGGCCTTTTCTTCTCCAGCTTCCTCTTGCCAGCACTCTCTGCCTATAAGCAAGGAACCATTGTTTCCCATTCCCCATCCCGTCCGTGTGTTGGAGAGTACCAGCTAACCGTTTGTGGGCAGGCTTGTCAGTCTGTGCAGGGGGGTACTGCAGTGTGCGCAGTTTCTATCAAGCAGGCAGTGGCAAGGAGATCTCCAACTGTCTGGAGATGGTGTGGCTATGGGACAATGAGACACGAAGCATGGGGCACTGAAGGGCTCTTTCTGCCCAACTCTACTGCAGACTTTCTAGCTCAGATCTGGCTAGCACAGTACACTGCAACCATACCTTCCACAGAGGGCGAGGAGACTGTTTGGGGACATATCAAAGCATGCCTGGTCTCCTGCTCTCTTCCTTTGCCTTGGCAGGAGCTACGTTCTCATGTCCTTAACATCTGCAACGTGATGGACTTGAAGGAGATGCTTAGGCAAGCAAGAGGGTGAGGAATGGACATCTTGGGCGCTGCCTTGAGGAGCAGAGGTCTCCAGAGCCCCACAGGAATACCCCAGGTCAGGAAGGCTGACGATGTTTTTCATAAGTATTGCTGTGAGTTTCCCCAGACTCTTTCCATCTTTTCCTTGCTGTCCAGTTAAGAGATGCATGGTGTTAGAAGTTCATGAGTCCTTTGTTCAGCAAGTCCAGTCCCTGCTCTTGCAGTACAATGTCTTGGCATCTTTTCTGGGAGCTAGTTATGTTCCACCTTAAAATGAATTAGGTTTTGCCCCAGCTGGGGAAAAACTTTCACTAACTGTGATTCTGCATATTTTCCTTATCTGTTTAACCCTACCTGTTGTCTGTGCCAAAACTATAACTTAATTAGCTCTCCCCCCGTATATCTACAGATAGTAACCACATTTCTCCTCCCAACCTTCATTTTCCTAGATTAAACAGGGATGCTTCTCTTACAGATTAGGCTCCCCAGGCTCCTGGTCATTCCAGTCATCAGCTGCTGCTTTTATTCTTGCTATAGTCAACGGATTAGCAGACTAATTGTGTTAAATAAAACAGAGCCTTCACAGATGGAAGTACCAGCTTAGGACTGCATTATCAGCTGCTAAAGCAAGATACTGACTTAGACAAGAGCAGGATGAAATCACAAAAACTACAGGAGAGCAATCGGAATGGGAGATTCCAATTATTCTCAAGTAAATGTCATTTCAGGACAAGATACTGGCACTATGGTTTGGGATCTCATCAATGTTTACTTCACAAGATAGCTATTTGGGAACTTTTAGTAGGAAAACGAGCTCTTGGCTTGTTCCTGAGCAGTATGCAGTTGTTATGGTTCATAATGTTTGGAAGAAAGTAGTATACTTACATTCAGCATACACACCCCCCCAAAGAGCAACATAAAATGAAAAGGTCAATACTCTTCTGCTTAATATCAAAACAGGTAAATTAAGTAAAAATGAAGAAGTAGTAAAAGAGTGAAAAACCTTTGTGGGTGGCAGGAAGAGTATTCCATACTGGAGACTCAAAGCAAATGCATACAACTTCACAGAGAGACGTGAGAAAAAAAAAAAAACAAAACAAACAAACAGAAAACAGCTGGGATGGCTAAATGACAGAAGAGAAGCTATTAAGACCAGAAAGCCCATCTTTCAAAAAGGTTGGGTCACACATTGCAAAAGGCGTAAGAAATAATATTCAGCTCTCTGTGGGGCTAGCACATGGTCCATGTGTAATAGGAATGCTCAGATAATTCCTCTGCATCAGTGTTTATTGTACAGGAGCTTGGGGTGATCCCTGCCCAGAACCCACCTTTATACAGAACATAAGGGAGGATAAGTCTCATGTTGAAATCTCTGTGGAAGAGATTAGAAAACATATCAACAAAGCAGATAGTAACAAACTGGCAGGACCAGGTAACATTAACGCAAGAGTGCCAAAGGAATGCAAGGATGAAATAGCTCAACTGCTAACCAGGATGTGTTATCTCTCACTTGAAAGTGCCTTGGTTATCAGAAGAGTGGAAGGTTGCTAATGAGATAGAAATTTTTTAATGTTCCAGACCATTAAGTCTTATAACAGCACAGCACAAATTAGTAGATACTCTTCTAAAGAATACAATTAATGGCCACGTAGGTAAATATAAGAGGAAAGGTGGCTTTTGCAAAGGAAAGTTATCTCTCACAAAGCTGTGAGAGTTCTTTGAAGAAATCCAAGAGCCCAGACAGGGGAGATTTCGTATAGCCTGTACTGACATTGTCAAAGGCATCTATCCCAGGGGCACTGCCTGGCTCCCAGGAGTGCTGCATCTGCACTGCACAGTGCTTAGACATATCCCAACTCAGGACCTACTCCACTCACCCATACGTTTTTGTTCACTTGAACTCCTCAGAACCACAAATGCGCTCAGAGGGCTAGGCACCCTCTCCTCTGGAGGGGCAGTGCATCCCTTGCACTGCAAGCATTGTCCTGTGAACTGCAAAAGGACCCTGGTCAGCCAGGTGGAGGATAATGCCTGCCATCCCTGTTCACCCAGCCTGGCACCACTGTTGCCAGCAGACCTCGAAACAGAGCTGTGCAAGTGGTCATGTTTGCCCTCCTCATTCTGGCTAGGAGGTCTCATGTCTCAGACTCAAATGGTCCAGCAGGAACATCACAACAGCTACCCATCAAGGTCTCTGGCCTCACCTTAGCAGGAGGTAAACAACAGGTCTTGCTTAGGTTTCCCTTCCCTCCCCAAACGAAGTG